AAAATACTCTAGTACATAAATTGTGGAAATATTCTTTAAATTAAAAGATGCTGCGAAAAATATCCCGTTCTGTCAGTAATTTCTGTCAAAAAAAAAAAAAAAAAAAAAAAAAAAAAGAAAAAACAGATTTAGTTTCATTTTCTATTAATTCATCAAATTACACCCTTCCTTTGCTCTCCTAAACGTTACATTTTAAGCTTATATAAAAATTGTCTTTTGATGGAAACGAAGTGTCTGAAAGTTTAGAAACATCAATTTAATACTCATAAATGAAGAATGATTTTCTCACAGGAAAATTAAATGTAATTAAAAATGAATCGTACGATGTAGCCAGTGGTAAGAAATTAATTAGACCTGAAAATCCCAAATTTTCGTTAAAAAACAAATGTAATCGTTATTTTTTATAAACCACATACAACCTTAAGACTGATGTAGACTTAAAAAAGTTGGTAATTTAGATTTCATCTAAGTTATATATTAAGTTTAAGTTGTATATTAAGTTCAAATCATACTTACCTGAGTTGAACCCACACACAGGAAGTTGATCACAATATTTTTCTTATTCACTTTTTGTCTTTTCAATTCGCTTTTTCATAAGAAGTTTTATTTTATGGTCTTTATTCTCTTCGTCAGAATCACTTTGAATTTCAATTCTCACGTGGTGAATAATATCATCATCATCATCATCATCATCATCATTATCATCATCAACGACAACAACAACATCATCGTCATCATCATCATCATCATCATCACTTCCATCATTAAAGTAATCAGATTCACTGTCAACACGATTCTGTATTGGACGAGAAGGGGGCGTGGACGGTAGTTTGCACTTGACAGTACCGTCCATGAACAGGCTCAATGAAACCGAGCCTGCAACATTTTCAATTTTATCGTTTTGAGCTTTCTTTAGGGATCCTTTTTTTCTCTATTTCAACTTTTCTATTTCACCTTAAGGACAACTTACATTTAATGGACAACTTATGTTTAATCATTTGACATAAATTTGACATTAAAAAAAGATGTTAGAATAACTCTATGAAATTCCACATACTACAACGATTATTTATAATATGCAGCAAAATGTTGCAAAGATTAAGATGTACACAATTTATGAAAATATTCAACCCTGATACCATGGTAGTATTAATAAGATGGTCAGTATAATATTTCTAGAAAACATTATCAAACAAATAACAAAGTTCTCGCCGGCTTATGCAACGTCATATTTGGTAGGGGAAAATGTAGAAAACATTTCTATAATAAAACACCTAACAAAATGTATTTGATTTTGCGCAAACAGTACCTGCTTCTTTATTATACTCGCCTATGTGATTAATTCCTGCTGCGATGATAAATTGCTCAACTACACAAAGTGACACTTCAATAAAATACAAGTCAATTCAAACAGAAAATCTATTTCTCCAGCAGTTTTTTGAATAATGCAATTTATTTTAAATGACTTTGTTTTATAAAATTAAAAAATGACCAGAGAGTTTTCTAAGATTTTGATTAGTGTGTATCATAAACATTTAGATATATGCTAAAACAAGTTGATTTTAAAACTCAATTTCTTTTTTCTTTTGCATGTTTTATGTATATAATGATACTGTCTCAGCAAGGAGTGAACAGACAAGGTGAAATTTCAAATGACTGCAACAATTTTAACTTTAACAAGTGACAATGATATTGTTTTATTGATATAACAGAGGGAAATGTTTGGTTTACCTTTAAAAATTAGTCGTATAGTTAACATTCAGAATTCGTCATATTTTGTTTATTTGTTATGTAATTCATTTCTATTCTGCAAAATCTTGCTATGACTGCATGCCCAACACATTACGTAGTTATAGAGTGTGTAAAAGAAACGTCAGAGAGAAGATACCCATCTACGAGATTGTCAGTCATATGTCATGCAAATGTAATAAGGACAGCTCTGAATCGTAACGCAAAGATATCTCCCCGTACAGACACTATAGTGACAGAAATCGGAATACAAAATATTCATGTACACTACCCTACCTTAACAATATGATAATCAAAACAGAAACAGAGAGAAAGAGTAAGGTTATTTAACCAATTGCACTATGAAATTAGTACATTGTATAAAAGACTAAATGGAATCGATCCGAATTCAGAAGCATTTATTTCGTAAATTACGTAAGTGAATTTTCTAATAATCAAATAATCTAATAATTTCTAGTAAATTATTTTCATATTGTTGTTATTTCGTTTTGATATTTACCCTTAAAAGATGATCCAAAACGATTAAGCACATGCTTATTTGTTTCCATCAAACACCATTGTCTCCATAGTTTACGTCAGCCATATAATTATTGTTCTCTTACTATCGTAAAAACAATCTCAGCAAGTAGTAAAAGATTGTTTCGTTGTCATAAATTCTGATTTTCAGAAATATCAATAGAGAATGGCAAAACAAGTGTTGTCATGACTAAGTAATGCCAACAAAGATTTGGAAAAAAACATTGCCGTGTTTTAAAATAAACTTGTTTTTTTATTTACTTGTTTGTAAAGAGAATCAGATTGAAGACGCAAAAAACAAAATTAATTTTGCTCAGATATCCATGGAAAAAATGCTATGTGTATTATAACAATGTTGTTTCCTGTTTTGTGTTTCCAGAAAAATGTATATCTAAATTCTAAAAAAAAATAGATTAAAATGTTTTTGAAGAACGACAAGTAGTGATAGGGACACATATATGCGAAAGTAAACTGACGCTGCTTGAGGATTAAAACATTCACACTAACTTCAAATCGGGTCAAGACAAACTACTCAAATAATCACACTCGGTTATCACATACTGGAGCATTATAATCTTGAAGATATTGGAAAAGATTTACTGCTCGCTGTAATTAAAACAGAAAAAAATAGAATACCGTCGTAATCTGTTCATTTCGAAACTAATTAAATGGCGTATCAAAGGGGAATCTAGTGAGAAAAAAATATTTATTGCGGTAATTCAAATAGAAATTAAAATATTCTCATATTACCTTAGAATTGCGCTATCTATTGCATTAATTTTGAATAAACGTTGACATTTGTAATGTATATAAAAATGTCTAGCTTTTGGTTATGTTGTTTCATAACTTGTCTAGTTCTTTTTACATTAATTGTCAAAAACGGTTAGAATAAATTGATATATATTTTTTATACCAACGTTTCTTTTGTTGCGTTTACTTTATGGTGAATTCGACAAAAGAAAGTGTGATTATAATATGACACTCTTCTACCATAGTTAATTTGTATAACCACATTTTAATCTGTGACAGCATTTAAGGCAAATATCTCTAACAAATATAATAGTTTGTGGTGGTTGAAATTCAATGCTCGTTGAAATATTTATGCAACATCAGATGGAGTCCTTACAATAGGAGCCAAATGATGGCAACATTTACAACCAGTATGGACCCAAGTCAACTGAGAAATCTGTACAAATTCCAAACTATAGCTTACCTGTGACTTATATTTATTTCCATAATTTGAAAATTGATCGCGGACTGTTCAAATAGAAGGAAGATGGGTTTGTTTATTTACAAAATCGAGCGTTAATATAAGAGTTAGGATATGTTTATTTGGTCTCGATTTGTCAGGTCGCTTTATAATTTGAATGTAGAATATGTACTATTATATTCTTTAAACTAGTTTCGGCAATACTCTATAAATCTGTATACAATTGTCTTTATGATGGATTATTAAAGGGTATAAAACTACATTGTATATATCATGTGTCATTGGTATACAATTAATAAACAGTAAAATCATGTTGCTTCCATAATCATATAAACAATTCTGAAACAGATGTTGCATAGAACGTCTATGTGATTTAACATGCATAATGTATGGAAACAGAAAAAAAACCAGAATAAAAGATTATGCTCCTATTTAAAGTTGTGTTTAAGTCGTTTAGCAGCTGTGGTAACTACTAACCTCTTATGCTTTGCTTATTGCATGAACAAAGGAAATGAGCCGCGTCATGACAAAAGCAACATAGTGGGTTTGCGACCAGCATGGATCCAGACCAGCCTGCGCATCCGCGCAGTCTGATCAGGATCCATGCTGTTCGCTTACCAACTCTATTACAAGTAGAGAAACTGACAGCGAACAGCATGGATCCTGATCAGACTGCGCGGATGCGCAGGCTGGTCTGGATCCATGCATGTCGCAAACCCACTATGTTGGTTTTGTCATGACGCGGCTCAAATGCTTTTCGATATGTTGAGATAACACATAATTTTCAATGTCAATGGTGTCATGCAATATGTCAAAGAGACAAACATTAGACGTTGACAATTTAAAAACACTCCTAATAAATCATGTTTATGAAAATTATCTATCATATTTTATCTAATGTTCTACTTTTTTATTATTCTATTATATATGAATATAGAATTATCTTCCCGATTAGCTTAAAAGCTATAAAAATGCAGATTATAAACTTTACAAACTTATAAATGCAATAATATTAAAACAAGTTGGTCAGTTCAACGTAACCATCATAAAATTTTAACCTGATACGGTTAATAATAGTTGTCTTTACCCTATAATCAAGATCTTTAACAGATTTCTGTACAATCATCGGAAAAAGTCGGGTGGAGCTTGATAGTACAAACCATAATTAGCGAACATAAATGGTATCTAACATTTATCAGCATTCAGTTTGGTAGGTTCGTAATCAACTCTCTGAACTTAAAGTATTATATAACATTTTACCAAGTTGGTCAGGACGTATGATAGAGCGATATATGTAGATTATTTTATCAAGCCTGGTTACAAGATTCATTCAGAACCATATCACTTATTTTGGACATTATTGTAAAATTTGAATGGGAGTGATGAGCGGATCAAATATGGAAAATATAGAGGATTCCTGTATGTGAGTGCATACAAATACTGCACATGGTGAAAAGGAATCTTTTCAGAGTGGGTAAACAAAACAATGTCATGTTATTTGTTTAATTGAAATCTTCCAAATACGTATTTCTATTTCATTTTTATATCATTGGGCATATGCTTTTAGATTTCACGCTTCTTAAATTGTGACAATTTGCTCTTCTGCCTATTTTAGAAAGAAAACATGTCTGTAATGAAAGAGAAAGGAAAACATACATAAATGACATATATACATAATTTATAGAAAATGATAATCATTACTCTGACTAAATATTCAACTTTGCCATAGAAAGTTGTAAAAACAATTGTTTAAACGTTGATTGGTCTACCATATTTTCAGAGCATGTCTCGATCATTTCCGAATGTCTTATGCCATCAACATATTAATCAATCATTGTACATCTAAAACAATTCCAAATTTCTATGTATCATTTGCGGAAACTTGCGTCTTTGACATTTTTTATGCTCATTATCAAATTCTTACATAACAAGTGTTTTATGAAAAGAGGTGAACATATATGTGTAGTATATGAGACAATAACAAAAATAATATGGGGTTATTTACAGAAGTACAGATATACAAGTAAACAATACAATGCAATACGCAAATTAATCTGTCCCATATACATATATATATATATACGACTCCACACGATCAGAAGTTCATTTTTATTCTCGAGTTACGTATACAGCGAGAGCAAAAAGAGTTCCAAGAATTGTTATAATCCTCGAAGTTTGAACAGTATCAGCATCGTTTCCATCGTTACAAAGAGGTTGTGTGCAACAAGAATCACAGCGTTTGGCAGTTTGATATCGATGGCAACCTGGGTCGCAGTCCCTCGAGCATGACCTTTCAATTTTCTCGACTTTACCATCCGCTTCCAATCGTTGAATCTGTAAGCAGGAATATTTTTTACTTAATCTAAGTTCGTATATATTAGATAACTGTTTTCAGCATATTTTAATTAAATAAATTTAACATTTGAAATGCCATTATGTGTTATAACAGATATGAAATGCATAATTGCATATATAAGCACTCAATCGACGTAGGTTTTCAAATTGTCATGTCTATACATAGTTCATTACTAGGTCAGTCAAGTAAGAAATAACAATCTAAGCTTGAGTTTTATATGCGAGGAAGCTTGTTCTTCTGTGGATTTTCATTATCTCTTGCTCTTTGCAGTTCAACAAAATCCTGCGTTACAACAGTAATAACTTTATCAATTAAATTTACAATAAATGAGAACATTCACTGTAAACATTTAATGGAAACAGTAGAACATGTAGTGAAATCAATCAGTAAACCAATAAATGCCCCGAAAATTTGTCTGCGGCCGATATATACGATATAAAAGAGTGTGATTGTTGCCAAAGGTTTAGTCGAGATTGTCATTTCATTAGATTTTGATCTTTGAATAGAGCCTATTTCACTTTTAGGACAACGTATATTGCAATATCTATTTATATGTGTCGAAACAATATCAAAATAGCTATATGCATATGTTTATTTTTACCGATGTGATCAAATATAAAAACGATCATAAACAAGGATATAAATTATTAAGTATGCTAACCATTTAGAACTGGCTTCAGAATTTTTCAAAAATTGTAAAAGCAAGCATAAAACAAACAATTATTTCATGTGAAGGACTGTTAAAACTTTTTAGGCCTCAGTCCGGCTAAATCTAATTTTCTGAACTGTCGTCAAACTGTTACTGGGATAAGTTCAAGGAAGGACGGCATTCAACAAACGCATCCCCAACACAACCCATCACCACTGGACAACCGACAAGGAGCCCAGCAGGACACCAAACAAGCACAAGGACAATGCACAAATGGGAAGCCAATACAAACAAACCCAAAATAGCAAACAACAGAAACCGACACAATAATTCATGTTGCGATGATTAAGTGCTGAAGTACAAAAAGTGTCAAATAGGAAGTCTATTTCGCCAGCATGTTCTTTATATAAAGCGATTTATTCTACATGAATTTTGCTTTGTAAAATTCAAAAGACCTTAGAGTTAAATATATGCTTTTAAAGTTAATATTTTTGCATGTTAATATGAATATAAAGGCACTGTCTAGACAACAGGAACTATACGGCGATATTTCAAATGACTAAAACAATTTCGACTTTATTTGAAGAAGTTTAAAGTGCTCATGTTTTATTTATATACAAGTGAAAGAAATGCTCACCCTGCAAAATGGCTCATATAATTTACATTCAGTTTTCGTCATATTTCGTTTATCTGTTAATGTAATACATTCCTTATTTGGCGAAGTCTTGCTATGACTGCATGTCCAACATGTTAGTAATGGTGCGGAGATATCTTCTCGTACAGGCACTATGGTAACTGAAATAAGAATACAAAATATATTAACATTCATTATCTCAAACATACGAACATCAAAGCAGAAAGAAAAGGCTTAAAATGTATTTTAAATGATCATAAGAATGCCACGTTTTTTCCCTTTCATTGTTATTTCGTTTTGACATTTTAGAAGAATAAGATCCGAAATGATTAAGCGCAGACTTATTTGTTCCGATCCCATACTGCTGTCTAGATATTTTATGCCAGCCATTCAATTAATTTTGTTCTATGAGGAGACACAACATATATTAAGAGATTGTTTCCTTTTCATAAATGGCTAGACACATGCAGTCATTACAAATATTTGTGCAAATTAAAGTTTAACAAAACCATTGCTGCTCCCATAAATAATATTGTCTTTTATATTTAATAGTTTGATACAGCGCCTTTAAACAATTGCAGTGTTGTTTATTTAAGAATTAAAGAACACTATAAATGTTGCTCAGAGTTCAATGAAAAAATGTCATGTTAATTTTTATAAAGTTATTCACCGTCACGTGTTTTACATGATTTTCAGACAAAAAGTTTTAATTCAAAAGAAACTTTGGATTTAAAAAACAGTGAAAAATAGTGAAAAAAAAACAGAATCCCTTAAGATCGCCCAAAACGCAAAATTGGAAATGCTGCAGACCCATTTGAGTCTGTTTATTGACTGTTCTAAAAGTATAAGCTACCGTCCCCGACCCCTATCTTTGGATCAAGCAGTATTCGTCATTGATACATGACAATCATGTGAATTTGAAATAGAAACTTATACAGCCGTGATCATGGAATCTTCAATGTAACACCTTTTTGCAATTCCATAGAAAGTTGCGTTCGGTCCACAAGTAATATATACGTGTTACCTAAACGAGAAAACAATGGGCAAAAGTACATAAAATGGAAATTTGAAAGAGGATCCGAGGTTATAAACAACACATCAATGTGCGAATGATGTTCGCTGACTTACACATTCTCACTGAATTTAAAACAGGTCCGAGCAAATACAAATGTTCATATAACTACATTCTGGTGTCTAGGTATTTAACAAATTTTGCATCACAATAAAAAAAAATAAATAAATAAATAAAGTAAACTACGGAAATGTTTCATTTGGAAAGAACTATATTACGTGGCGTGTCTAAGGAGTAACCTAGTAACAAAAATATATATATTGCTTTAATTTAAACAAAAAGTGAACTATTATTTTATACTTTTAGACTTATTAGCACTGTTTATTGCTTCCATTGACATTCGAAGTGAATTCAAAACTGCCTGACTGATTTTTATAGATAGTTTTTTTTTTCCAATTTATCGATTAAACAGCTAGTATAAATTAAACTATATAAAATGTTTACATCTTCATTAGAACTAGATATTCTCTTGTAACAATATATTGTGTATTTCTATGAATGAATGTCTTATAATAATATGATACTATTATAACAAAGTTGCATTTCTATAACTGCAAATTAATATGTGATAGCAATAAAAACAAAATACCTGTAGCAAATATAATAGTTTGTGTAGGTTGGAATTCTGTTTTTGTTGAATAATGAGAAATATCAGATGTGATATCGTGATACATTTGAGTACGGTTATGGTGATGGTAATGGTTTGCTTACAACATGTTCAAATGGAAATTACTTCATGTTCAGATTACATACAATTTTAATGGTGTCAGGAAAAATGTCAAAGAGACACCCGTAAGACATCGACTTATAACACTTATAACAAATATTTATACAAAATATTCAGTAAATGTTATCTTACTTAACTTCTAATGTTTAAGAATAAACAAATATTCCTCGATTTTTTGTAACTGTTCCTCCGCTTTGCTTAAAAGCCATAAGCCATATGAATAGATTATTAACGTTGAAAACGTAAAAATGCAAAATAGATAAAGAATAAAAGAAGAATAAGCAATTGAACATAAACACCATAAAAGTTTAACAAGACTTAAAACATTGATCGAAAGTTTAGTCGTTAATTAACTTTTGTTACACTTTGTGGTTTTAAATCACTATAAAAATACTTGCTTCCGTTAAAACTTACTTTACCATACATAATGACCTACAATCAGGAGTTTAACAAAACAAAAAAATTTGGACATGTAATTAACCGAACAAATCGTAATTGGTGGACACGAGCAGTATCTTACTTAATTGTCATTCAGTTTGGTAGTTTCCTAATCAATTCTTAACTTCCGAATTATTGTATAACATGTTACCATGTTGGTTTGGACGTATAACAGAACAATATTATCAAGTCTGGTCACAGGATTCATTAGGATCCTTATCACCCATTCTTGGACATCATTGTAAAATTTAATTATTTACAATAGTCAAATATGGAAAAGTACAGCATACTTGTATGTACATACAAAAACACCGTGTAGTGAAGAGACGCCTTAAAACTGGTAAGATAAAAAGGTTTTGAAATATTAATATTTTTGATCAATTTAAACATTTGTGTTGCAACTGTAATTATAAATATTTAGAATTCTGCCTACTTAATATATGAAACGCCAATAAAACACTTAGTTAAAGTTAGCTGGAATTTTATGTTGTGGCAATCAAATTCAATTACCTGCTGATAATTGATGTTTCTTAGTTTTCATGTTATTAACCATGTTCGGTAAATGGCAAGGGATTTGCAAACTTTGATTAAATTATGTCAGACAAAAACACGGTATTCAAGGTTATCGCGCAAATTCATTTCAAATTTAAGGTATTGGGTTTAAAATTATTCTTTTAATATCTCAGATTATAAACAAATTAAAATGAAATCAAAATTGTGGTGACAGTTAAAGGTCATGACAGTTAATTTACCATCAAATATAAAATCTCAAAGGCAGCCAATGTTGCATTTTATTTTCCTATTTCAATCATAACAAAAAAATGTATCAAAAAGCTTTAACACCATTCATAACCAGCAAAATGACTATTCTAAGCAAAAAATAAAGAAGGACAACTTAATGACATCATTTTAAAGCATGCCGTGCAGCTTACTTGGGTCAGGATGGGATTTTCCAACTGATTAACCGGCAAGAAAGAGCCAATACTGTTTTAAAATCGCGGTACTGGAAATCTTATCTAATATCTCAAATTCAACACTTTTTTACGTATTCCTACATACGCGAAAACAAAAAAGCAAAAGGACCAAATGAGTTGAAAAGTGAGTACTGGAGCATCCACTAATTGCAATCACTCTTACTCTTCAAAGAGACCAAATAGCGGACAGCGTAAATTCATGAGGCGAAAATCTCTTTAACACGTTATAATTTAGGAAGCACAATTTTCTTTCTTTTCGAAAGAAATATTCGTAAACACTAATATAGACACTTTGCATGGTGAACATTCTTGTATTATTTTAAATAATACTACATGTATGTTTTTTATCAATTCGAATTTATTTTAGAAAATCCAGCAAATGTTTAAAATGTTTGATGTTTGTTACATCAAACCCATGATTTCACACTTCTTCTCTAGCAAATTGTGAACTGGTAAGTAATTTCAGTGCATACTATGAGTAGATCAGAAGCTGAACTTTTTAATGTAAACCTTGTGTCCATGTAAGAAAAGTAATTACAAGGGCTCAATTCCTCTGCTGGGAATCTACTCAAATTATGAATTATGTTAATCTAGCACCGATGTTTATACTACGGCTCTATTCTAATATGTAAAACTAAATTGCTGAAAACTTGCACACCTTCCTTAAAGAAGTACGATACTAAAAGTTTCTTATAATACCTAAGCAATATGAAGGTACGGAAAAGAAAAAAAAACAAAACAAGAACATGGGCAAAAAAAATCTATGCTTGGAAATTAGCTTTTGAGATCTCCCTTATTTAGCATAGCACTGGCACACACATCACTTACTGTACATTCCTTGTTGACTTATATACTTTAGGTCAAAAATAATTACACTATCTTGTTATCACACCGTCATTCGCTGTATATAATTAATTATATACTCATTTGGTCTCGCACCTGGCTTACAATGTACTTTCCAAGTCACACATCAGTAATTCCCTTAATATATACACGAAATAATATCGATCTGAGTTGTTTATCGGCTATTATCACCTAGTGTTCATACCTACTGCCTTCGTGGTTAATTCTGCGTTTCAAAACTACAAACTTGTGGAAAAAATAATTAAAATAACAATAGGTCCGTAAGGTACCACAATAATAAACTCAGATACTATTATATTATTCTATTCAACTGGAAATAGTCACAGTCTATGACACTACAAGTAAAAACATTAAAGTTATAACAGTGCTTTATCATTGTTACATATTATTATTATGCTTAAAAAAATAAACTTCAATAAAATTTGTTTTATTAAAATGTATATTTTGCACATGATACATTGATTTACTTCTGATGAAGAGAAAAATAATTCTAGATAATGTCGTAAACATAATTGGCGTTGATTGTGATGTTAAAAAGTACTTGCAAAACAGAAATGTAAGGTAGACTGATTTATTTCATTTCCACATAGTCTAAATCCAGTTTCCTTATAAAGCATTAGATTAAAGTCGTATATTCAAATAATGTGTTTAAAGAAGACCTGATAGGATTCATGTGAATTGTTGAAGTCAATTCTGCAAGTAAAATCAGAACAATAAAATGACGGTCATCTGTTGAAAAAAGTATGTTATGTTTCGTTTTCAAAACAGTATATGATAAAGATTTTTATGATTTCAGGTATCCCTTTTCTTATTATATTTGAATATAACTGACAGTATTGACAGTTGATTATAAAAAATCTAGACTGGTAATAGAATGCATTAAACAAAAGAAGACTTGGGCTAAATGTTCAAGCTCTTTGTCGTAAAATGAAAGAAAAAGTCAATACGAGGTTGTGATAAACATTATTTATTTATTTAGTTATTTATTAGCGTGTGGAGAGGTTAAAGTTAAATGATAAATTATAAACATTTATCATAACCATCTTTAAAAAGAAACATCATATTTTTGGCTATTTACGTGTGTTGAGTGTTAAATAACAACAAATCCTGTCGAAATAGTACAAAAATAAAAAAAATTCTCTCTCGAGGATGCAAAATTCGTTGCTACAATACCTCTACAAATTGTTGAATTAAAGCCATAATATTGCATTCGTTTGATAATTATATAAGGCTTCAATCATAAAGACTTCAACAATATACAAAATGTCCCCATTTTATAGGCATGCTATTACAATATCAAATGTCCCTGACATGATTCAATATTAGTTTTGAGAAGGGAATAAACTAGGAAACATTGGAAAAACTAACAAAGCTTTATAGAAAAACAAAATATTGATTTTACAATCATCATAAAACAATAAGGTCCACGTTAAAACGATGTTACAATATGTTGTTTACAGTATCTCTGACAAGAAATATTAGTAACAATATCTTCTTAGTTCATATCAATTGGCATTAATCTTAATGTCAAATAAAATTAATGTCATGTGTTATTTGCAACTTGAATACAATATAAAGGACTGTTATCATAAAGGATTCTACATGTATGTGAATTGAAAATATCATGTCACTGTCTCATAAAACATCAAACATATCAATCAGTTCGTAATTTAGTGTATACATACATATTATTTGGATCACAAAGTTGTTCTCAGTATCTAGAGTGTTTGATCTCAACAAACGTTCCACAAGAAAATAATGTATGTTTATTTAAAGGGGCTGTCACATCAAAGACAAAGGAATGACAATACTCATTTACTTAACATTATATCTGAATAATTACTTTTCTTTAGGCATATTACTTATCGGCAACCAGGAACTAACCAAGTGCTACTTTATTTAATTTCATGTTGTTGTTTTTTAATTATTTGTTATAAATAAACTCGTATATATCGAAAAACTTAGTGTAAATTTAATTGAACACATCATTTAAGCTGGTTTATGGCGGTTTTTGTTTACTGATACCGCAGTTTATATGAACATTGGCATGTCAATGGATCATTCAATCCGAGGGACAAAACTGTATTTTTCTCTGTTCTAGATGGAATGAATAGACAAGAAAATTAAAGATGATTGAAGCCACTATATATTCTATATTCTACGGGTCTGGTGTTATATTATCCAAAATATTATACTCATATGAAACTCTTATGATGATGAAGGAAGGCTGAAAAGGAGTAATTTATATACAAAGAGAATCTTGGAATTTTATTTTCATGTGCTTTATATAATTATATCGTATATATGTTTTAAAAGAGAAAAGAAATGTTTATGAAAAATGCACAATATGCAGTCACTTCTATTTAGATATCAACCAGTATACTAACAAAAAATAAAGGAAAGATATAAAATCTCTTGGTATCTTTGAAACTATCAGTACGGGAAATTCGTTTTATTTACTTTGAAAATGACATATTTGTCCAAAATGCTGTCTATTGTGTTATGCAAGAACCATTAATTAATATACAAAAGCACAAAAAAGCAGAATGTAACAAATAAATTTAGTATATTTATGGTTGAAACAGATAACCCGATGTTTATCATCCATATGTAGCACAATATTTATTCTTTGTTCTTTATAAATATTAATATTTATTATATAGCTGCATGCAACGACTCATTTCGCAAAGTATTTCTTATATCTAATGCATGTATCATTTATCATGTTATAAAATATATTTGAAATTCGTAGAAATATTTTCACTAGGAAAAATATTGAATTTTACCTTTACGACATGTTATTCCTTGAAGCACCCCAAGTAGTAAAAATATTCCCAACTGTATGAATAATTCATTATCGTTTAAACTAAGATATTTCCACGACATATCTATTCCACATACTACTCACTATTTACCGTTTTCCTGTGAATGACAAATGAAAACTGCCGATGACACTTTACTATAAGAGGCTCTAAGAGAACATTATTCACTGTACTATTGATCACAATAGATCCATTTGCCTTTGACTTGTTAAACTTGTCTATGCCACTAATGAGAACAAAATAGTCTGTTCGACTTTATCAAAATGGTCTTTTAAGAAAGTGAGGTTAATGAAAAGAATCCCTGTGAGGCAATAAACAAAATAAAACAGCAAGAAGGAAAACGTTGGAGACAGGTGAGATAATATAGATATCGTTGGTTTTTTATTTTACAAATTATATATTTTCAGATTTTTTTTTTCAGATTTTTCAGATTTGTCAGAATATCATTCAAATATATTAAGTCTTCCAATGCCCTACTAAAATTCAAAACAAGTTATAATTATAGTAGAGTAACATGAAGTGCCAATTAATTAAAAATCAGTCTTTAGAGCAGAGTGCACGACCAATGCCGGCTGACTTTCATTCAGTAACAGCACTTTTTGTATTCGGCATATGTTTCTAAATTCTAAATTAAACTTCATTTAATTTCCAAGTTCTGCTTGTTGGGGGTTCTTTAAGGTTTTTTTTATATTTGTATTGATTGAAATAAAATATCTACATAACTGATATCTTATAGTACATATTTCGTAATTTTACTCATTGTAAAAAATGCTATTGAAAACAATTCCGAACATCTTTTACACATTGAATGATTTAATTATCGTCTCTGAAGACCCGTGTTATCAAATATTTTGTACATTAATAAGATGGAAATGAATAATGAGAGATATAAAATAGTTCTAATCTGTCTCATAAAGGCAGCCTACATTAAAGATGAAATAAAAATCATTCTCCATAAAATGTAAGACATGATTAGGCGGCCCACAGAGAGACATATAAATTATTAAATCATTTAAATGTGAAAATATCGCATGATTTGATTCCAAATTAAGAATATAACATGTTCTTCCGTTTGGTAGAATTCGCTTTGTATAAATATTGTCTTTATGTTTTTACTTGAAAATAAATTTAACATGCATTAGTTTTCTTTTAGAGATAATATGACTTCATTTGTGACAAATTGAAAATGATGTCAAGGGAGTTCATTATGTTCATCTATAATAAGCTTGTTTATCCAATATATCGTATTTGTTAAGTTTATCATGACAACTAAAGTGTCAAATTATTTCAAAAGTCTATGATGATTTAAGTTTATCAAGGTAAAACAGCAAATTAAGTTTTTGGAAGAATAAGATCTGTTAAGCACCGCTGTCGACATATTGTATGCCAGTCATATAATTAAATGTGTTCTCTATGTATGACTAGGGGGACACAACAAACATTTAGTGATTGTTTCGTTCTCATAAATTTTGATTTTAAGTAAAATCATTAGAGAATGGCAGAAACGTGCAGTCATTAATAAGATTTATGCGAACAAAATATTTAAAAAATCACTGCTGCATAAAAAAGCTAATTTTTCATATTCATATTGTTTGTTACAGCGCCTGTATACAATTTCAGTGTTGTGTATTTAAGAAGCAAATACTAATATAAATGTTGTTAGAGTTCAATGAAAACTTGGTATGTTTATTATGATAAAGTTATTGTCCGTCTTGTCTTTACATAATTTTCTGAAAGACGCATTTTTTTAATTCTAATCAAAACATAGATTCAAAATGAATTTGAATGAGAATAAACTGCGTCTTTCAAATAACGTAACAATAAAATAGTGAAAAACAGAATCCTTAGGAAACGCTTAAAACGGCAAAAATTGAAAATGCTGCAGGCTCAGTTTGATTGAGTCTATTCAATGGTTGTTCTAAAAATTGACAGCTATCGATACTTTTGACTTAAGCATTATTCTTCATTTATACACGAAAATGCTGAGATTTTGAATTAAAAACATGTGCAGATGTGTAAGTACGGCTGTGATCATGGAATCTTAAATGTGGCACATTTGTACCATTCCATAAAAGTTGCGTATTGTCAGAAAGTAAAACAATGCGTTTTACATAAACGAGTATACGATTGGCGAGACAAAATACAAATGAAATTTTGAAAGAAGATTCGAGATTATGAACGCATCAATGCGCGAATGTTGTTAACTGTGCCCTGGATTTACACGTTGTCACTGAATTTTTAAAGGGCCCGGGCAAATACAACTGTTCATACAATACAATCCATTAAATACATAGAGGCCTGTAAAACAGTGATTTTTATACAACTTACATGTACATAAAATGGCAGAATTATGACCGATGTTAATAAAAAGATAGATAAATTAAGTAAATAATTAAATAAATGCAACAATACAATAAGAAACAAAAATAATTATAAAGAAAGTATCTTACGAATATCTTTTTCATTTGAAAAGATTTAGATAAGTGATGTCTCAAAGGAGGAACAGAGTAAGAGTATTTATTGCTTTAACTCAAATAAAAAGGAAAATATTCTTATATTACCTTAGGATTGCACTATTTATTGCTAACATTGACATTTATAATGAATAAAAAACTGCTAATTTTTGTATGGATTCATCATCAATTTAAGATATCTTTTCTACATTATTTGATAAAACAGCAACTATAAATTAAACTATCAATTATTCTTACATTTTCTTACATTGGTAACATTGACATTTATAATAAAATAAAAACTAACTAGCTAGATGATTTTATGTGTTGCTTCATCACTTTTTTGAATTGGATCTTTTTTTAACATTTATTTAATTTGATAATTACATCAAGTTTACTTTGAACTCTCTTTAATTCTTACATCTACATTTAATTAACCTATTTTTTCTGATAACAATTGATTGTGTATTTCTATAAATGGATGGCTGAGAATAATATAATATTATTCTATCAAAGTTGCATTTCAATAACCGCATATTAATCTGTGATAGCAGTAACGACGGAATATCTATAACAAAAATGAGAGTTTGTGTAGGTTAGAATTCTTTGTTTGTTGAAAAATGATTAATGTCAGATGTGATATCATGATATATTCGAGGATTTTTTTGATGAGCTGGTTATGGTTTGCTTACTACATGTTCAAAAGAAATTTACTTCACATTCAGATTACACAGGATTTTAATGGTGTCAGCTGCTTGGTGAATATTTGAAGGCACACATAAGACATCGACCTTATAAAACTTAACTCATTGTTTATTTTAATCTGTATAAGTAAAAATATTCCTCGAATTTTTGTAAGTGTTCTCCCGATTTCTTAAAAGACAAAAATATTCAGATTATTAACGTTATAACCATAAAAATGCAAAATTGATAAAGAATGAAATGAATTTGCAATTCAACATAACCATTATAAAAGTTTAACAAAACTTATATCTGTAATCGAAAGTATAGATTGATTACAAATAACTATTGTTACGCTTTGTGTTTTTAATTCACTTGAAAAAAATACTTGCTTCTTTTGAAAATTAATTTTCCCTACAATCAGGATTTAAGTAGAATGAAAGAAAATACTTGGACATGTAATTGACCAAACAAACCGTAATTGGTGAACACAAACAGTATCTTACATTTATTATCATTCAGTTTGGTAGTTTTCTAATCAAAACTTGTCATCAAATTCAGGAAATGGTAGAAATAAGCTAAGAACATATAGGCTCTTTAAATAATGTTTTTTAAACTGAAACATATGTAAAACAACATTTGCCTTTTCGTTATCGAAGAGCTATGGCATTCTTTAGATGCGGTGTTGCACCAATAAGCCTTGAAAACGGGAGGTATGGAAATCTGTCAATATATGAAAGAAATTGTTTCAAATTTATTGATATGGTAGAAGATAAAATACATTTTATGTTACACTGTCCACTCTATAATCAATTTAGGGAAGACGTATTTTTGGTCTACATGAACAATTTTTAACAATTTATGATGTTGAGAAAATACATAACGTTTTAGTTAATCCATGAATGGCTATGTTTACAGCCAAAGCCTGTTTCATATTTTAAAACATAGACGTCTTCTACTTTATTGTAGGTAACTTTTCTTTTTAATGTAGGTATTTCAAGTCAGAGTGTGTTAGGAATCTTACAGCTGGAATTTATTTTATTGGTTAGGAGCAACTTTTTTTTATTAGGTATTAAGTGTATTTTATACATTCTTAGACTAGTACTTTTTTAAAATTTCATTAGAATTGTTAAAATCAGACTAGTGGATTGCTTTATATATAGACTTTTAGACACACTAGTAGAAATATGAATTTTCAAAGCTTAATAAAATGACAGATTCAGATCATTCCCAATACATTTAATGTAATGTGTGTATTATATATAATTATTTAAGTATGTAAATATGATTGTTATTATATTTACCTAAGCAAGTTTTGCGTCTCATATAATTCTGTATTGAATGGCATATGTATATTTATCAGTTTTATCCGTTTTGGTTGTGATGTATTTGTCATGAGACGAAAATAAACATTTTGAATTGAATTAAACTCTTAACGTGAAGAATTATATAATATAATATTTTACCATGTTGGTTAGGACGTATAACAGAACAATATAATCAAGTCTGATCACAGGATTTATTCGGATCCTTATCACCCATTCTTGGACATCATTGTAAAATTTAATTATTTACAATTCGAATACGGAAAAGTACAGCCGGTATGTACATGCAGAAGCACTTTGCGAAGAGACACCTTGAAACTGTTAAGATAAAAAGGTTTTGAAATATTAATATTTTTGATCCGTTTAAACATTAGTGTTGCAACTGTAATTATGAATATTTAGAATTATGTCTACTTAAATATACGAAACGCCAATAAAACACTTAGTTAAAGTTAGCTGGAATTTTATGTTGTGGCAATCAAATTCAATTACCTGCTGATAATTGATGTTACTTAGTTTTTTGTTATTAACCATGTACGGGAAATGGCAAGGGATTTGCATACTTTGATGTAAATTATGTCAGACATAAAACACGGTATTCAGGGCTATCACGCAAATTCATTTCAAATTTAAGTATTGGGTT